TCAGCTCTTCCACCTTCCTGGCTTCGTGGCTCCTCTTCTTAAAGAACCACTGGTGGTCCTCAAAGCAGCCCGGGCACAGGAACTCCTCGCACTCCGAGCACCACACGGCCGCCGCCTCCCGCCGGCACCGGCAGCAGCTCAGCCCCCCACTGCTGATCCGCCGGTAGACGCGCAGACGGGCCTGCAGGCTGCTGAACAGCACGTTGTCCATGTCGGGGATGCCGTCAGGCTGCGGGATGGGCGCCTGGCACACGGGGCACTGCCCTACAGGTTTGTTCTCCCTCAGGCAGTCCAGGCACAGCGTGTGCAGGCAGGTGAGCAGCTTCAGGTTGGGTGATTCCTGCCGGCAGCCCTCGCACAGCACGAACTGGAAGTCGCCCTCCCCCGATAGCCCAGAGGGAGCGGGGCACTGCGAGGGTCCGGGTGCGACCCCCGGCTCCTTGGGGGCAGCAGGGCCATCTGGGTAGGAAGAGGAAGCGGGAGAAGTAGGGAGAAATGAGCTGTGTGCGTTTGGAGCGTTGGATTCGGGGTTACACGGGGAGAATCCAAACGTGCCAATTGATTTTTTCCTTTCACTTTTGCTGCTTCCGGATCTTGCCGTGGGGGATTCAAGAATGGACAAATCGCATCCCCACCGTATGGCTCCAGCCTCTGGGGTGCTCCCGCCAGCCCTGTCCCCAAAGCCCCCCACATCTTTCCCCAGCCCACCAGCGAGCCCCACACAAAGCACGGTGCCTCCCCTTGCCACCTCCCTCCACATTTTCTGTATCCCCCTCAAAGAACAGCTTTGCATCCCAATTGTGACCCCGTTGCAACCCACACGTGTAACCCACCCACAGAGCCTACTGGGGGGGGCTCCCATTCTGCCTATCCCCCACCCGCCCAGCCCGCCTCCCCGCATAGTAATAAGCGCGGAGCAGGCACACGGCGGCGGGGGGACCCTATTTACCTTCTTGGGATTCGGATGGTCGGGGGGCTTCGGGGCTGCCGGGCATTTCGGCGCGCTGGGCCGGAGGCTTCGCTTTCGTTTCTGCAGTCCGGCGTGGGGAGAAGGAGGAGCTGGGGGAGGGAGGAAGGCGGGGATGATGGGAGAAGGCGGGACGGGACGAGTCCGGGACGGGGCACGGTCCAACGGGGGCCCCATGTACCGCTCGTCCCGTTCCTGCCATCCCACTGCACTGGGAGGGAGAATATCGGTGGGGGATGCTGCCGGGGGGGATGCAGACACCCATAGGGTGGTGCTACGGGGGGAATGCCGGTACCCACAGGGTGATGCTGGGGGGGGGGATGCAGACACCCGCAGGGTACCACCCCCTTTTGTCGGCTGCCGAGATGGAGGAGCGCTTGTTTTGTCGGCACGAGAAGGCCGCGTGGAGAGGGATTTGCTGGGGAAAAAAAAAAATCTATTTCTCTATTTCCTATGGGGTTGGAGGGGACCCCGTAGGGACGCAGGATCTTCCGGATCCCCCCGAGGTATGAGTACGGCAGAGGACGCGACGCTCCCCGAGGTCGCCGGAGCGTTTCCCGAGCATTGCAGCCGCCGGAAAAACTCACCCCGCCGTGAGCCTTGCGTCCCTCTGCCGTCACAGCCACATGAGGGGCGGACCAGGAAGCTCCGGCATCTCCCTCCTTCCCCTCTGCATCCTCATCCTCATCTAGGAACCGCCGGGAGGATGGAACCCCCCGGCCCCAGACCGGACTGAGGCTCCAGCAAGGAAAACCAAGACAGCATTGCTTTATTGCAGCAAGGCTGCAATAGGGCTGTTGGGTTTTTTACCCTCTCGGCGTTGCACATCGCAGCAGGGAGATGTTCAGCAGGTCGGGATACCAGGCACTTCCCTTAGGGGATTTTGACCGCTTCCAGCAGTCCAGCATTGGGCTGTACGGTGCACAGAAGGGCTTCTTCTCCTTCGGGTCCAAGGCAGACCAGCTGGGATCGGCCAGGAATGCTGCAGGTGAGCCCCGACTGCAGAGGGGAGATGCTGCTTTCTTCTCCTCTGGGGCTTCCAGCAGGGTGTTGTTGTGGCTGGGTGCTCTCACTCGGCCTGGGTGGGGTTTGCTGGTGGGTGCACATTCCCTGCCCCCCTTTCAGACTCCTCCCAGGGTTGGCTGTCCTGGATCTGCCATGGGATCATCACCTCCTTGGTCTTCCTACTGATGCTTCTCACCTTCCCCATCTCAGGCTGGTTTGCCTTGAAGGTAAGGGAAGGGAGCAGGTGAGGAGCAGGGTGGCAGCCCGTGCTCTGTGGGTAGGCAGTGCCTGGCGTTTCACTCCTGTCCCTGTCTCTGTGTCCAACCCTCAGATAGTGCCTACCTATGAACGAATGGTCATCTTCCGCCTGGGCCGCCTCCGTGCACCGCAGGGCCCTGGCGTGGTGCTGCTGCTGCCCTTCATTGACCACTGGCAGCGTGTGGATCTGAGAACACGGGCCTTCAATGTGCCCCCCTGCAAGGTGAGCCACCCTTGAGGCATCCCAAATACCCAGAGCAGCATTCTGCCTATCCTCATGGTGAGGCAAGGAGCTGGAGCCACGAGCCCTGGGGCTGGGAGGCACCTATTGACCTTCCGTATCTTGGTCAATGGATGTTCCCAAGTGGAGACATCTCCGAAGCATCAGCCCGTACCCAAATGTCTCTCAGCAATGGCTGGAAGTTGTCATTCTGAGTAGCCCAAAACGTCATCATTGGGGTTGGCTTTATTAAAGAGATGGGGGAGGGAACCTTGTGGGAGTTTGGGCGTGGGGTGCAGCGGGGCAGACCCTGACCCCCTCTCCCAGCTGATCTCCCGGGACGGTGCCGTGCTCTCCATGGGTGCCGACGTGCAGTTCCGTGTGTGGGACCCCGCGCTGTCCGTGCTGGTGGTGAAGGACCTCGTGGCAGCCACTCGCATGACGGCACAGAGCGCCATGGCCAAGGCCTTGGGCAAGAAGAGCCTGCGGGAGATCCAGGGGGAGAAGCTACGCATCGGAGAGCAGCTGCTGGTGAGAATGGCCCGGGGTGCCCCCTGGCTGGGGGTACACCTCAGGTCTAAACCAGCAGCACGCTGAGCTGTGGGATCTGTTGTCTCCGTGGTCTCCCACAACCTCTCTTCCCCTTCTTTCCTCAGTTGGACATCAATGACATGACCAAGTCCTGGGGACTGGAGGTGGATCGCGTGGAGCTGACGATGGAGGCGGTGCTGCAGCCCCCCCGGGATGCCCTGCAGGGACCTCTGGGTGCCATAGCCCCGGTGCTGGAGGGCTCTCCCCCACAGCTGGCTTCCCACCTCCTTGACAGCAAACCTGGCGCCCCAGAGGCAGGTAGGAGCCCATAAACTTTGAGCCCAGAAGATGTTAGAAAGAGGAGCCAAAGTCCTGCAGATACCACTGCCCTGTGAGCACAGCACAGATAGGCTGGGGGCAGCTCAGGTTTCGTGCTGGGAGCTTGGCACGGCTCTCAGAAGGGGTGGGAAGTGACAGCGAGATTTTTCCCCAGGTGCTTTGAGTCACGGGGATGGGAGGAAGACTCACGTGTCAGCTCAGGCCCCTGCTTATTCCTAAGAAAGAAAAAATGCGCTCTGTGGTTGCAGTGTGACTATTCTGGATGTGTCATCCCTTCAGCAATTTTGGCTAAGGAAGACTGGGGCAAGCAAGGGAACGAAAGCTATGGGCATCTGGTGGAGGCTGGAGGAGGGAGTGCCATGTGGTGGGGGTCCTTGTGGACCAGCGGAGCTCATCCTGAAAATGTCCCCTGTTGCATCCCTTTGTCCCAGCAGACAGCGTGGTGACAGTGAGCGAGGTGGACTCCCCCAGGAGGAGGCCCAGCGTGGCCGAGCTGCTCTCAGCCGTGGAGCCCATCCTCTCCGAGGCTCTGGTGAGCCAGGTGGGAGCATCCTACCAGGTGGACATCATCCTGCCCGGCGGCACCCGCAGCACCTTCTTCATAGACCTCTCCTCAGGTGGGGTCTTACGGTGGGGTGGGTGCTCTAGGGGATCTCCTCATGGTCGGCGTCCCAGCTCACAGCTGCTCCCTCTCACCCCATCCGTGTCCAACAGGCAGCGGGCGGGCTGGCTGCGGTGTGCCCCAGGGCAGCCCTGATGTGGTGCTGGAAGTGGCAGAGGAGGACCTGCAGGAGCTGATGCTGGGCGAGCTGCGGCCCCTGGCTGCCTACATGAGCGGGCGGCTGCGGGTGCAGGGCGACTTGCAGCTGGCCCTCCGCCTGGAGGAGCTCTTCAAGGCCGTGAAGCTGCACAGATAGAGCAAGCGCATCCCTGTGTGTGTGTCTGTAGGTGGGGGACAGCAGAAGAACATGGCGAGGATGCTGCCTGCCCTCCCCGTGGGATGACAGGAGGCAGGTGAAGGCCTGAGCGGGGAAACTGAGGCAACGGAGGCATCGCTCCTTGGCTGAGCCCCTCCAGCTGCCTTTGTGCTTGTCTTGTCTCGCCCCTTGCCTGCAATGCATCCAGTGGGCACCCCAGCTTTGGGCCGTGTGGTCCTTGCAGCTGCTGCCTTTTGGGGAGGGAGCAGAGGTGGCATCCGGGGAAGGAGCAGCCTGGAGTTGCCCCTTCCAACACAAGGAGTGACGGCGTTGATTTGTGTTTCTGCGTTGTGTGGTGTGAGCTCTGTCTGCGCTGCGTGCGTGGGGCTGCGTCCAGCCATGTATCCGTAGCTCTTTATTTTGTAAGCTTCCTTTCTATCCCAATAAACATACTCTAAGGGTAGTAACAGGATGGTGGCTTCAGTTGGTGACCCTGCGTGTAGGTTGGTGGCCCCTGCATGCGGCAGGTGGGTTGGAGATTCATGATCCTTGAGGTCCCTTCCAACCCTGGTCATTCTGTGATCCTGTGGGCTCTCCCCCATGCCCCGCTGCACTGAGCCGTACCTCAGTTTCCCCATTCCTACCGATAGCCTGTGTGGGGATGCTCAGCACCCAGAGGTGAAAGCATCTCTGTTCTGGGTAACCCCAACCGGTCCATGGTGGGGGTACCCCCTTTGGTGATGCCCCCCTCAGTCACAGTCCTTTTAGCTGCCACTCCTTTGGTCACGGTCTCCACTTGACGGTGGTCCCATAGCCACCAGCGGGGAGTGGATGGAAGGATGGAGAGGAGCCGGGGTGCAGCTCCTCCCATGGAAATGGCTTCCCGGCAGCAGTTAACATAGGTCCCGCCCGGAGGAGGAGTCTGCAGCACCGGGAAACCGAAACTAGACGACGGGAGAGGCTGGGGAAGCCCCGGAGCCGTGCCACGCCATGGACGGCCTCGAACCCGCGGTCCCGGTGAGCCCCGGCCGGCAGCGGGGGGAGGCGGGGTGGGAGGAGACGGGGGGGCGGCAGAGGGCTGTGCGCCGACGGGGCGGTGGGCACGGGGCTGTGCTGGGACCTTTTGGAGGGTTTTCATCCTTTCATGCGTATGGAGTGGGTGCGATGGGAGTGTGGGGGGCTGCAGAGTGGGGCGGCGGCAGGGAGGGGGACGGGGTGGCAGGGCGGGTGGGTGCCTCCTGTCCCATCCCCACCCTCCAACGCTGCCAACGCGTTGCCCCTCGTGCTATGGGGAGGGGAAGTGCTGAGCGACAACCAGCGCCCCGCAGGTAGGAAGTGGCCGCTCACCTGGGCCAGGATGGGGGTTCTGAAGCGCTGTCTCTTCCCTCGCCTCCCCAAGCCACTGGAGGACAACTTCCAGTTCGTGCTGTGTGAGGGCTGCCGGCAGGAATCGCCCGACCTGAAGCTGCTCACCTGCCTGCACACGCTGTGCTTGGGCTGCCTGAGAGAGAACAAACCTGTAGGGCAGTGCCCCGTGTGCCAGGCGCCCATCCCGCAGCCTGACGGCATCCCCGACGTGGACAACGTGCTGTTCAGCAGCCTGCAGGCCCGCCTGAGCATCTACCAGCGTGTGGTCAGCGGGGCCGAGCTGCTGTGTGACAACTGTGGGAGCAGCAGTGAGTACTGGTGCCCGGAGTGCAAGGAATTCCTGTGCACAAAGTGCTTCGAGACCCACCAGCGCTACGTCAAGCAGGAGAACCACGAGGCCAAGAGGGTTCAGGACATCAGGGTGGGATCGCCACAGGAGTTCCTCGAGGGCACCAGGAGGACCAGCAGCTTGTCCTGCCCCATCCCGACCCACCAGAAGCAGACTCTAAGGTAGGGAACTTCTTGTCATTCATCTTTGGGCTGAGTGAGGTGGTTCTGTCTCTCTGCTGAGGGCCACCAGATGGAAAAGTTGGATGGGAGTCGGTTGCAGTGACCAGTGGGGAGCAGGGAGGAAGTGCTGGGGCTGCTGATGGGGCCAGAGGAGGGCATGGGATGAGGATGAGGATGAGGATGAGGATGAGGATGAGGATGAGGATGAGGATGAGGA